CCAGTATTTTATTCTTAACTTTAAGCTTGTAAAACTAAACTTGTGCATAAAGCAAAACTTGTGCATAAAAGATGTATATTTTAATGAATCAAAATAAAAGATATAAAAGTGACGTAGTTTCATATGAAAGTCAATAAACCCTTAGTATTTATTTGAATCGCAAACACAAATGGTTTGTCCAGAAACGCGTATCTCAGTGTTCTTTCCATGCTTTGTCGAACAGTCGAAGGCGGTCTCGATAAATTGAAATTATCTGGTGGCGATGACGTGATGGGTGGCAGCGACGACTGCGCCAGACAATGGTTAAGTTCCCTGATAGCTAGATACATGTATAGATTCTGATGTACACAAGGATATGTCGATAGCAAACCCCGTCACATTTGTATGGCTTTCAGGTATCTACCTACTTCTACATAGCCAAGTTAACTGCTTAAAACTTCACTAAATGCTGACTTTGATTCGCGATTGCCAGCGAGAACGTTTGCAAAATTCGAACAATTTTACAAACTTTTACCTAAAATTTAAGAGTATTCTAGTATACGTGTTGACATAATTGATCCGAGTATTTTCACACTTTAAGTTCTGTATTTTGGTTAAATGGTAACAAATATCATCCATCTTCATAAAGTTCGTTGTAAATATTGTGACAGCATTAGATTTACATGTATTTTCTTACCTTCCGTATGTACAACCTAGTTTTCTTACTAGTAAAGTTATGAAGATGGCTCAATTTGAAACCATTAACAGTATGTTCGGAGAAACAAGACGCCGTATACCTACATGGTTTTAGCTATTTTATTTTTAGAAAAGAACCTAATGGTTCCTCGTTGTGAGGCTGGTATGATAATCGGATAAAATTGAAGTTCTAAGTTTATGAGTGAGAAAATGTAACTAATTCCAACTTAATTAATTTTGAGATCGGCATTTTAATTAAAAGAGCAACAGCAACTAGCTGGCAGGACTTCTTGTTTAAATTAAAATACGCTTGATTGTTATATCGAAGCTGGGCGTCGAGTTTATCCAAAGATTTATCTCGGCAAAGTTGAGAAGCCGCGCCGTCCACATTGTCGTCTCATCTATATTGAGTTGGGCGTCCGATGTCGGCTCGGCCACTAACTATTCCTGACAGCGGCCATATTCACTGCATTTTAGAATTCAATTGAGCTGACTTCGTGAGTTTTCTCTTTAATTCTCTCCGACCATCTTGTTACACCGGTAGGAGCTCGCAAACTTCTCCTTACGCCATGCACTATTGCAATAAAAACGATCTCACTGTTTTTAAATTTTCTTTAACTTCACGTAACTAACAACTGTAAGTAAAAATAAAGAGTTCTAAAAAGATCTCAGTTCAGAAAAACGTAAGTAATTAAACAGCTAGCTTTATTTTGTAAAAGCTCCTCGTTCATTGTCAGTAAACTGTAATAAAACTAAACAAGTGTTTCATAATCGAATTCAGAAGAAAGTAATTGCGGTTTAATTCTGTTAATCGAGCCCATTAAATGGCGGTATCACGGCACTACCGCTGCTGCCCCTAATGGCCTTTTACCAACGCATTTACCTAACGAATGACCTAGGACGGCGAGCGTCCTGCCGCCTGGCATCAGCACGTTGCTACGATTTAAAACCCAATATACGAGTCCCGAGAGTACCTCCGCTCTACAAATACCAACCTGCTCATAACAATTTGGACGAGGAAAATGAGTGAGTCGAACAGGGTCGGACCACATGATACGCCTCAAAAATGTTCGTATTTAACGCAAATGTTGAGTAATATTGTCTACCATTTTATACGCCGCATGACAACTACGGGTAACAGCCGTCTGACAAATACATTTGTTTAAAATTAATGACGGGCAAAATATTAGTGGTATGAAACAAAGCACGCAATTAATCCATGAATGCTAGTGAAGTCACGCGATGGGCGGCTAGCGAACAATCATCTGAACGATTTATATACACACCGGTAGGTACATCAAGCAACTAAACTCACTATTCACTAAAGCCTGCGGTAGAGAAAATAATTGTGCACGATCTAGAAGTGGTTTATTATCAAATTGAATGAGTTCAGTTTTTAAAATAAATCACCAACTTGTGGTAGCGAAAACTACTTTAGTTTCCCAAAATTATGTGGTATTGGTGGTCGTAGAAATTGGTTTCTCCAAACTTGGTCGTTATGAATCAAAATGCATGGTAACAAACAATAGAATGGCATAACTTCCATGATTCAAAGTAAGCCTGAATATAAAGGACGGAGTATCAGGAACTAAATTGACTTCAACATTCTTGAGCAACGAAACTTCGAATCAACTTTTGGGATGAAGTTTGTGTGAAAATACTTTTAGGCTAATTAATATTGCAGTGGCTTAACTTTGGCGGCTTAGTTCAAGCCTTAATTATGTTTTATTGAGATAAAGATACTTTAGGCTTGACTCTAAAGAATTCTTATTGGAGAAACCGTTTTTGTTTTCCTAGTGTTTCTTTCTTTACTAAACAAATATTGCTCAGTCATAATATATTCTTCGTGTAAACCGCAGGCAAGTAGAAGGTTAATAGTACAGATAAAAGAAATATTTTTAACATGTGAGAATCATGCACAATAAAGGGACGCGGCCAATGCCCCAATCTCTTGCAATTACCAAATAAAGTGGCCATTTGATTACCATGTATTGAATAATTTTCCATTTCCTTGTGCGCTTCAATGGCAAAAGATGCAGCAATAATTTTATGTATCCGTGTACATTTTCCTGGCTTTTGTAGTGGCTGACCGCAGTCTGAATACTTGTGGATACTTGTGCCAATATTAGCTCTTGGCAATTTCCTTGGCATAAGCTCTTAGTCGCGTTTATGACACCTTCAGTAACAGGTGATTAGAGTGGCTTCTTCTTGGCCGGAACGCCGCGATAAAATTTTATGGTACAAAATGAAGGTAACGTCTGTGAATTTTTCCTCCATATGACTTAATGGTTATCATCTTCCCTACCTTCAACACAAAGGTTACCTAAAGGACGGCGAAAGGACAGGGCTAAAACCTCACACTACGAAAAGTATTAAAATAAGGAAGATATGGGACAAAAATTTCTACAAAAATGCTGTTTGCAGCCTTTTGACTGCCTGTACATCATACAAACACATTCCATTCAAAGATAGAATACTTTAACTTACTTAACTTACTTAATTTAAATTGTGGAGATCATGCTTCACGAATGGCCCGGCTCGGCCGGAGTGATAAAGCAGAAAACCAGCGTGAAACAACGTTTCGTTGGTTTTTGTCGTATGAGTGAGGTCAACGTAGATCTAATTACCTCCCACCCCAAGCTCCCCAATCCCCGAAACCTCAATCCTCATATTGCTGAATCTTAAAAGGCAGATAACGTACTTCTAACGACTCTGGTGTTTCGGGTGTCCAAGGGCGCGCCGATTGCCAACTATCAGGTGATCCGGCTAAATTGCCGGCTTATCCCATAAAAAAACATGCTAATATATATAAACATCCATAAACAAGTGGCGTATTTTTGTGAAAAGTGTATTTATTTTCAACATTTGCTCTAGCACCAGTAGGTACTATTGTTATCTCTCGAGTCTTCAATATTAAACGAAATTATTTTTAAATTTGATTCTTTGTATTTTTTTACTACTTATGCTATGAGTACTTTTATAAACCGACTTATATATTTACAGACTGTAATAACTGTGTCTCATTTGCATAATTTTTAATGGAGAATAATCCCAATTCATTGATGAAAGTCCAAGCAAGTATCCATATAAGCCATGTATAACTAAACAACATACACGTACAACAAGCCTTTGTATTCTCGGTTACCTATTTTTATTATAAAAATACTCCAATTTTTGAGTCGCATTGTTTTGCACCTATGCGAAAACGGATACTATTTTAAATGTATTTAGGTTCACAATAATCTACCTCTATAAGCTTCAAGCTAGAGTGTCACATTGGAATGGTTGCGTAACTTTGGCAATTTTTATTTTAGTTTTATACAGTGAAAGTTTGTATGAATGTATGCATGTTCTAACTAATCCAAAGAACTGAACTGAACTAATCTCAATGAGATACAGAGACAGATTACTTAAGGAGTCAAAAATGAGTTATTTTTGACTCATGACTGGATTAACTCATTTTTTTCTCAGTAAGGCGGAAATCAGTTAAACTATATCACGTAAACAGATTGAAAATTTTAAGAGTGAAAGAGCGTTATGTCCTTCTAAAACCTGGGAGGCCCGCCCCAGATGCTGTATGCAACTTGAATGAATGGTTTGACTGGAAATGCACAACGTTCCCACAGAATACCAGCGTAACGGCATAACCTAATGTTGATATGTTTCGTCTGGTAAGTGCAGGCTCCGGATTCTCAACCCGCTGTTTTATCGCGCCATCAGTTTCAGGAAGTCCTCCTCCCCGGAAAGCAAAGTTCATTTAAACAGTTTCCCACATGGTCCGGAACGTATTTGCAACGCCCCTGATTTACAGGTGTACACAAGCTGCGGTGATCACCGCTTACCATGAGGCAGGACGCAAACTTCGTTGATACCAATAGAATAAAAAAAGAATTCCTAGTAATGTGCGTCAAATGATCTATCACAAAAAAGAATTATATTATCGCACAATAAAACCAAAAATAATAAATGTGTTCGTCCTGTGTAGGTACCTACCTAGGTACGAGGCAGGTAGGTCGTAATTAACCTTGGAGTAAGTTAGCTACCTCGTCATTACCAACGAATGTTTTAACCTACAAAAATAAGTTAGTATTATTATTAATGTTGATAAGTAAATCATTACTTAATGTTACTCTCATGTATAAAGACTTAACTAGTCCAAGGTTTATTAAATTATTGTAGTTTATAGCTAACAGTAGTTTGCAGCTACTTCTGTAAAAGTAAAACGACCTGAGCCAGTATAGTTTCATGCATTTATTTTATTCATTACATAACAAAAATTATGTAGCACACGATGTACAATCGCAATAATTAACTCTAAATAAAAACTAACGATATAAATGGTTATCCCTGATATTGCTCGCTATCTCTGGCTCCCAGCGGTCGCCGTTTGTCAGTAACTTTTCTTTATTATAAAACAGCTCTTCGCGCGTGCTGGTGCTATATTCAAAGTTGGGACCTTCGACTATGGCGTCAACGGGACATGCTTCCTGGCAGTAGCCGCAGAAGATGCACTTACAGAGGTCAATGTCGTATCGCACGGCGCGCCGGGAGCCGTCCGCACGCTGCTCAGACTCGATAGTGATCGCCTGTGCCGGGCACATAGCCTCACATAACTTGCAGGCAATACAACGCTCCTCACCCGACGGATACCTTCGCAAAGCGTGCTCTCCCCTGAACCGAGGAGACAGCGGACCTTTCTCAAAAGGATAGTTTATTGTAGCTGGCTCACGAAATACATGAGACAACGTCACAGCGAAACCTGAAAAACGAGAGTTTTTGCAAAAGCAGTCCTATTTAAAAGCGAATCAAACTTTTCACTGGCAAATAAGTACCTCTAAAATTAAATTGTCGAGGACAAGGAAAAAAGACAGAGAAATATTTCAGCCGCTACTGGATAGCTTTATGAATGAGTTTACACAGTACCTTTACAGTACACACGTCAAAAGTCAGTGTCCTACTTCAAAGAGTACATTCTCGTTCAAAGGAGTAATTTACAGCACTTTTATTGAATTACTCAAAGGGAAAAATTGCTCCGAGAATTGTCATTTCCTATGTGCATTGTGCATTCTTGAATGCTATATGTATAAACCACTAGCTGTTGCCCGCGACTTCGTCCGCGTAGATTAATGACTTCTGACAGAATTAATCAGAATCAATTCAGTGCCCAAGTAAGATTTACCTATATTGAAATGATTTATCGTAGTTTCAATAAATAAATAATCCCGCAGGGATCTTACCAGTACAGTGCCCGATCACGTAAGGTGTGAGTAATAAAAACTATTCTATCGACTATTGTTGTACCGAATCTCTCTAAAATAAGTTCAGTGGTTAAGAGTTAGAGAGACCTGGGGCAGTGACGCATAGTTCCCGTTCCCGTGGGACATCTGTGATAAAAACTATCAAACGTTACCCAGGTCCCAAATCATCGTTTTACCGAATGTAATTCAAAAAGATTCAATGATTCTAAATTCAATGGCTAAGAAGATTTATACAAACTCTCATTCCCTATTTTATCCCCTTAGGGATGGAATCTATCAAAATCCTTTCTAAGGAGATACCTATGTCATAGTAACTTTATGCATGCAAAGTCTCAGCCCGATCAATTTAAAACTGGCAAAGTATCATACTTTGGGGTGAGAATGTTCAAATACCTTTCTAAAGGGACGTTTACGTCATAATATCCATCTGCACGCCGAATTTCAACCCGATCTGTGTAAAACTGACAAAGCTTCATATAAACTTTCACCCCCTATTTTACCCCCTTAGGGGTGGAAATGATCAAAATCCTTTCTTAGCGGATGCTTATATGATAACATCTATCTGCATGTCAAATTTCAATCCGATCGATTTAAAACTGACAAAGTCTCATACAAACTTTCATCCCCTATTTTACCCCCTTGGGGGTGGAAATTATCAAAATCCTTTCACAGCGGATTACTACGTCATAACATCTATCTGCATGCCAAATTTCAACCCGATCGGTTTAAAACTGACAAAGTCCCATACAAACTTTCATCCCCTATTTTACCCCCTTGGGGGTGGAAATTATCAAAATCCTTTCACAGCGGATGCTTACGTCATAACATCTATCTACCCGATATCTATTAACCCGATCTATCTATTAACTCGATCTATTAACCCGATCGGTTTAAAACTGACAAAGTTTCATACAAACTTCCATCCCCTTTTTTACCCCCTTGGGGGTAGAAATTATCAAAATCCTTTCTTAGCGGATGCCTACGTCGTAACATCTATCTGTATTCCAAATTTTAGCCCAATCTATCCAGCGGTTTGGGCTGTGCGTTGATAGATCACTATGTCAGTCAGTCAGTCAGTCAATCACCTTTGAATTATATATATATAGATATATATGTATATATATATATATTTACATCCTAGAATCGTTTTGGCGTCACACATGTCGCGCATCATTACGACGTCCCCCAGTTCCCGTTAATTTTTTTTATATGTCTTGATGAATATTGCTTAGTTATTCGATTTCTAGCTTTGTAGGATACGTCATTTTCCGATAATTTTATTTTTCGCGATATTCTTCTTGCAGTCATGCTGCAACATTTTTGAACCCCAAACCATCGTGATAACTAATTGGGCTCCTAGATATATTGATCGTGATTTAACCATGGCTTCGGCTAATTAACGTCCTCACAGCGTGGATGGTATTTGCGAGTGCAACGTTGCCAGCTTTGCGTTCACTTGTCTCTTTCTTTTCCTCTCTCTTGTCACTCGTCTGGGACAGAGTTTTAACAGTATTACAATATTCGTAAAATCTATCAATACATATACTAATGCCCGATATTGGTATAATATTGGTAACAAGATGCAAAAAAATGAGGTTTCTATGACATTTTTACATGAGAAGATGCCGCAGTAGGAATAACATATTTTTTATATGTTTGCCTAGTCTATTCCATACATAAATACAAATCGGTTCAGCCCGTATGTGATCGGCGCGGCGTACCGGTTTTACAAATTTATCTAAAGAAAGAAACTCAGAACTCAATTTTTATTTCAAAACAAGCAAGAGTAAAATACGTGAAAGTTTCTTCCCCAGCGGTCATCATGTAAGATCATCTATAACTGTGAAAGATCATCTAGCTATTGGGCGTCCGTATATAGTTATTAATCATCATCAGCCTATTTAAGTCCACTGCTGGACTAGCACCATCTACTGGGCTACGTTAGGAATTCAAAAATGGTCATGCAAATTTCAGTTGACCCAAACGGTATGGTCATCAAGTAAAAAGCTACATCACTATACTGCTCACTCACGGAAATGGGAGGTCCGTTGATTGCGGATCCTGACAATTGACATGGTAATGGCAGGGGTCTCTTGCGGAGCCTGACGATGGCCATGCGCGCGAAGAAAGTTTCTTCCTCAGCAGGTATCATGTAAAATCACTTAGCTATCGAACGTCCGTATATAGCTATTGAACGTCCATATATAGCTATTGGGCGTCCGTATATAGCTATTGGGCGTCCGTATATAGCTATTGAACATCCACGTACTTCCTCAGCAGGTGTCATGTTAGATTTGAGGAGTGGCTTGAGAGACAGAGACGCTACGGCGTCCTTATCTACCGCCTGACGCAGGTGCTTACCGGACACGGAATTGTCGGTAGGTTCCTGCTTCGGATTGGGCGGGAGGAAACGCTCGGGTGTCATCATGGCGAGGGCCACGGACACGGACACGGTGGAGCATACGGTGGCAGTGTGCCCTGCGTGGGCTGAACACCGTCGTGTCCTCAGGAATGTGAGCGTCCGACACTGGTTCAGACCATGGTACAGAGTGAGGGAGACAGGGATGCCGTCTCCTTCTTCTGCGAAGCAGTCCTGCTAGCTAAGAAGGAGGCGGAGCTCGTGAGGGAACGAGCCTCCTCACGCTCCAGCCGTCACGAGAGACACTCCAGGCGTCGGGGATCGCGAAACGGTCTCCATCCACCGTAAGCACGGGCCTGTGGTCGGCGAGCACGGATGACTTGCCGCCCGATCAGAACCAGACCCGAACGTACGGCGCGTCGCGTTCCGCATACGCCCCAAGGAGCCATCAGACCACCACGGATGGAGCTGATGCCCATACGGAGCCACAGAGGACTTAAAGGGTGACCGGGGCTCCGACTCGAAGTGCAGGAATAGGAACGGGGTGGTTTTAAGTCAGTAAGAGTCGGAAGGTACCTGTGTCTGATGGGGCGGGAGGAAACGTCCGGGTGTCATCACTGTGAGGACCGCCCTGAGGACACGGTGGAACACACTATAGCGGAATGCATTGCGTGGGCTGAGCACCGCCGTACCCTCAGGGAAGTGATCGGCGATGGCGACCTCTCGCGTCCGGGCCTAGTGCAGGCCATGATGCGGAGCGAGGGGGACTGGGATGCCGTCACCTCCTTTTGCGAAGCAGTCAAGCTAGCTAAGGAGGAGGCGGGACGCATGAGGCAGCGAAGCGCTGCCTCCTCGCAACCTAGCCATCGCGAAGGACACACCGGGCGTCGGGGATCTCGGGACGATCTCCGGCCACCGTAAGCGCGGGCCTGCGGACGGCGAGCATGGGTGGCTCCCCTTCCGACCAGAAACAGACCTGAACGTGCGGCGCGTCGCGTTCCGCGCGCGCCTCAAAGAGCCATAAAACCACCACAGATGGGGCCCAGTAGGGCCGATGCCGAGTCGGAGTCGCGGAGAACCTAACGGGTAACCGGGGCTCCGGCTGGACGTGCAGGAGAAGGAACGGGGTGGTTTTTAGTCAGTAAGAGTGACACTCCCTCCCCCCTTAACCAGGCGGGAGCAGTCAATCGATGATTTCCCCGCTTAAAAAAAAAGTCAGTAAGAGAAACTTCCTCTGAAACTTCCACTCGCCTCACCAGCGCGGCCGGCGGCAAATTGGATGATTTTTTATCCCTCAAAAAAAAAGCTATCATGTTAGATCACCTAGCTATTGATCGTCAGTATATTGCTGTTGAACGTTCGTATATAGGTATTGGGCGTCCGTATATAGCTATTGAACGTCCGTATATAGCTATTGGGCGTCCGTATATAGCTATTGGGCGTCCGTATATAGCAATTGAACGTCCACGTATAGCTATTGGGCGTCCGTAATTAGTAAAGATAATAAGAATATATCTTATTACTAGAATGGTTTAATTAAGTATATATGTTCAAAACTTCTTTCATTTAGGCTGGTTTCAGAGCTAAAGGATTGGGCAGCGCTGCTGAAATGCCTCGCGCTTGGAGATGATGAGAGCATCTAGCATCGTTTTATTGCGACGCGACTGTCATAGAGGTAGAGGTCCCAGTAGAGGACTTTATCGCTAGAAATTATGATCTATGAGATACACTTTTATTTTAATCTAAACCTTAAGTTAACTGAAGACCGCACCTAATCTGATCTTTGTTCGCAAATATTGTATTGAATTTCAATTTCATTTAAGGCAAGATTCCTAATTTAATACTTCTAGTTGTGGCCACTCGATTAACTCCTCTATTGGATTGTTGCCTGATGCCTCTATTGTTGAAGCCCGCGCTTCAGCCGCGCTGCCCGTTTCCCCTAGCTTTGAAACCAGCTCTAATTGTATCAAATATTTAATTGGCAGCTTATTGATATGAAGTTACCAATTCTAAGTAAGCAAATAAAAACAAAGAATATGGATATCATTTTACTGCCTCGTTGGCCGAGTGGTTATAATTCCTAATTGGATCTTTATAACACGCCAAGGCTAGAAATAAGAAGACAAACGTTGATTGATTTGATCAGTAATACAACATTAATTAATTATTCAGTGTTAGATGCATCTTCTAACCACATAAATAGATAAAGTTAATAAAATTAGGTCAAAATTTATACGGAGACAATACTATCTAAATATACATTTAATACGAGTTACACTCTGGTTAACCTTTTTTGTGGTAAGACATATAATTTTGTCACTTTAGTACTTATTTCTAAGATCCCTTTAAGGAATTAATTTATACCCTCATCTATTATAATATATCACTGATAGGTACTCATTTACAAATTGAGAACAGGGTTTCAGATAAGTTGTCGTAAGTTGCAATCACATGATTATAATAAAATCGGACTCCAAATAATACGCAACACATCCAAAATGTACGACGATGAATATTGTTTTGAATGCGGTAAATAATATTATGAACTATTTCCACGGATTCACTGAGCGAACTGGCAACGTCGCTGTTATTTTTTTGAGGACGCCAAATACGCGGACTTGTAATCAGGAAATCCCAAAAATATACAGCTGTGGATATACGCGCTACAGCAGCGCTCTATCTGCGCTGAGATTTCTTTGAGAACTTTTCAAAATACTATAACAGCCATTGAACCGATCTTTTGGCCTCTGTCGATTTTTAACCTACGTGTAGCCAGGACCAAAAGGACCTAAGTAGCATAGGCCAAAAAAGTGGCGTCCGGTATGCGGACGCCACAAGCAGGTGGACGCCAGATTAAATGCACTTTCGCCTTCATGGGACGTCCAATCGATAGCGGGATGTAAATATATATATATATATAGATATATATATATATAGATTATCAATCGGATGACGATGTCAAACACATTTTGGACAAAAGCCTTCAAGCAGAGGGGACTGAAAGTTTGGTAAAAAATAAATAATACACTTATTGTATAATACACTTAATAATACGCTGTCATCTCATATAGATTCTTAGATATGATTTTATCAATCAGGTATGTTAATAATGTGTATGATTGATAAAATAAAGTAAATTATTATAATAAAGTTAAATATGATTTTCCCAAATTAGGTGCATAGCTGAAAATTTACAATACGTAATTTAAAAACAAATACGTTATTTTGCCATAACTAGAGGTAGGTTAGTTCAGTTTTCATCAATTTTTATTCACTCTAAATGAAGAAATGAAAACGAAAGAAATAAAGGTTGATATGTATTTTTTATTCCTGGCCTCTAACAAGTTCCAAATTTTATTGTTGGTACAATACAAGCAAATCCGTGAGCAAATCTGACACGGAACAACTGACTTTTGAGAACGGTACATTCGCCATAAAAATACAGAGAGATGTGTCACGTATTAGTTTAAGCTACGTATTGCAAACAAACAGTTGTGTAATTAAGTTCGAGTAGAGAAAAGAGTAAAAGTTACTACCTCGAAATAGCTCCGTCCAGAATAGTGTTTGTGCTATCCGGTCGACGAAGTCTCTAAATCCGGTACTTGGAGGAATATCGTTGACGTATACGAATTTGACGTCGTATTTGGTTCTTGGGCAGCAATAGAAGGGAGGATAGAGTGTGGGCGGTGGGCAACCTGTCAATCCTGGTAGGTCTACCGGCGGTGGGCAAGGCGGCCATGCAGGCAAGCACTCGGAATTTTGCTGTTGCCCTCGAACATGAACAGCTTTCACACCGCCAACGTAAGGTTGATTTCTAACAACACCAGCTCGCCTCACTAAAAACATTTTCCAAATGAGTTGTTCTATCTGTATAATGACGTTGACGTTTTGAATTAATATTTGATTGTCAATTCATTATTTTGCAGGTTGGTTAATTTTCATATTTTCATGTTGGCGATGACGTATCAGACCTTTTTATTCGACTTCAAAAAGGAGGTTCTCACGCGTGAGCTATATTTTTTTTCTCTTTACTTTTATTGTACCTGGTTGCACCGATTTTGATTTGATACCAACTAGGCCTCAAACAATTCAATTATTTAATTAGTTATTTATTTTTTACTGAGTAGTTTTTTTAGACTTAGTTTTAGATAATTTATATTTATTGAAGCACCTTTACAACACTATTTGATTAATTGAATAATGAGAAATACAAACAAGAAATTATAATAATTCTCTTTTGAGAGATTTATTATATTAATGTTATTTAGAAACAGATATTATTTTGTGATCGGAATATGAATGAGATGGGCACATTTCCCGACAGAACTTTAATAAAAATACTTTGGTTCTCTACGCTGCATAGCAACGCAGTAGTTTTCTGTCTAGCATATTTTAAAGTTACCAAATGAACAAGAAAATCTCCCACTAATGTCTGCTGAGCCCGATAAATGCGGGATTCATCCATTATTCATAGTATTACCCAAAAAAGTGAAAGAGAGGGTTCCGTAAGTTTACTAAACTTATATGGATCGAAAACATGAAATAAAAACATACAATATTATTAGTACAGCACTGTACCTACATAATTGTAGTCAGCGTGATTATATCGACATAGAAAACCCTCTGATCTGAATATTTATGTAACAGGTACATAATCTTATACTATTATATAAAGCAGAAGAGCTTGCTTTTTTGTTTGTTGGTTTGAACGCGCTCATCTCCGTAACTACAGTTTGTTTTGAATAATATTTTTGTGTTGGATAGCGCAATTATTAAGGAGGGCTATAGGCTATAAAACATCACGCTATGACCAATAGGAGCTGAACAGAGCGTGTGAAACCGCGAGGAAGTAGCTAGTATTTAAGTAAAGTTGAACCGCTTGGTTCACGAATAAACTACTATCGGATCATAGAATTGAGAGCTAACATTAGAATAGAATATCTCGGTAACTAAATTATCGAAGTAGATTGTAGGTAAGAGCAGGAGCAAATTCAGAGGATTGCATTATGCAATGGCATGCCAAGTGCTTCAGGCATTCTAAAGTTAAGGCCAGTTAGTCCGTATGAAGCAGTGGCCCAGTTGTCTCAAGTACTTCGAGTACAATCGTTTGACTGCTCACGACATGAACACGCATTCTTGAGGCGCATTCAATATAATGCCACTAGAAAATTCAAGCTTTAAATGATTTGAGTGTACAAATATACATACATACCTACTACGCAGGGATTTTAATTAAATTATAATTATAGGTTTTTAAAAAGACGATGACGAATCTACGATATTCTTATTCTCTAAATTCAAAATGGCGTCATTGTATTCTGCTACGACGTAGACAGATACCAACAAACAATCATCTACAGTTAGATGAGTGTTTGTTCGTATTTGTTAGATTAGTTAGATTCTAACTAATATAAACAACGTTTTGGCTTCCTGATTGCTATATGCTTCTGGATATAAACTATTGTTGGCCACAAGCAACTTGAGTACTACATTGCGGTTAGTTGTTACGTGTTTGAGTCACATATTGGGTCGCCACGGTGTATTCGCTGTCCTCAAAGCATGTTCCGCTAGTTTGTTTGCCCATTATCTCAGAGAGAATGGAGAAGTCAGATCAAAGTGCTGCCTTATCGGAATCTAAATTACGTAATGTTTACCTCTTTTGTATTGGAGTTGTAATAGGTATTTCGATAGTGTTTCATTGGAAATTCCAATGTGACATTGATATTCGCAGGAAACTAAAGTTTAAAAAAAACCTTCCGGCATTTCCAGGCATTGAAAGAGTTTGAATCCAAAAAAATGAAAAATAATTTTAGTTCACGCTTTTCTATCAACCAACAGATAGTTTCGGAAACTGGCAACGCATGAAAAAAGGAACGAAGCCATTTTTTGGGTGAATTCTTTGTTTTTGTTTTTTATTTCCATCGATGGATTAGATTGAATTTTGAGAATAGGTGTATCCGTGAAATATGGCGTCTACTAACTCATCACTACGGTGGGACCGCGTGTTTTGGTCCAAATTTTCATGACAATGTAATTGTCTATTGTTATATTAACCTATTTAGAAATTTCAAACAAAGTCGGTATCTGGATCTTGTTTGTTTTGGTTTCTTTGGTTTTCTTCTAACTTCACTTAAATTTTTGTCGCGGCATTACTTACATTTTTCAAATAGGTACAGAATTGTATTTTGTACGTACTTAAGTAAGTAAATCTCGAACTCTTTTATGGGACCACATCCCAAATCAAACAGTTTAATAAAATAAATGAGAACTGGAATGCATTAATAGCAAATCAAGGTTCACTCCGTTTTAACTGACGTAAAAAAACAATGAGGTTTCGACCGTATGGTTTTTTAATTTTTTTTTAGTTATGACCAATAAGAACAATTAGGTACCTGTGTCGTATTATTTGCGATATTTTTATGTAGGCCTAACAAGTTCTCTCTCTCATAATTAGCTTAAAAAAGTGATTATCAGACATAAATAATCGATCCGTTAAAAAAAGACAGTGAAAAAAGTAATGAATTTGATTGAGGAATTTGGAATTTGGAATTTTGCATTATAATTGAGGGCTCTTTGATTTTGCAGTGGATCATTTAATTACGACTTGATATCAATGGGACCTTAGAAGTAAATCTGTCTTTCAATGGGATAAACATTTTTAAATGGAGACGATGCTGAACGTGCATAAAATTTGGCCTTATACAAAATACCCTTTATTTGAAATCGATATAATACAATTTGTATTTTATTTCAAATCCAGAACACCGTAATCGTATTCAAACTTTATTTAAAAGTTGGGAAACTGTAAATGTACGTATCAAGATAGCGTGTTATCTACATTCGTACCTACATTTTCAGTTTAAAGTTAGTTACAAAATTAATTGTCAATTTCATCGTTAATGTAATTAGTTTTGTACCATTTTGTGTACTTACACGGTACACCCTACAGAGTACATGTACATTATTATGCAAATATAATTAAGTATATTTGATCTAAATTGATTGCCTAAAAAACCTGTCTACATAAACACATCTAAATTTATAATATTTTTGGACCAAAGGTAACGCAAAGGTATGCTTATTATCAAACTTAAAAAATACTTCATATATCATTACTTACTTACTTTACACTTACTTATGTTTTATGGGCTAACACGTATTTTACGAGGTATTTTTTTTTAAGGACAGACGTTTGACCACTATCTGACCTAGTGGTAAGTGATGATGCGGCCTGCGGAGCACGACTCCCATAAGCAACCTTTTCACTCATGCCTTGAAGACATCCATCAGGAAACACAGACTCTGACAAAGAATACCACTCCTTACCAGTTCGCAAAAGGATGCTCGTAGCGAAGCGCTTCGTGCGAGTGGATGACATCCACCATGAATCGATGACGCTCCGCCGATTGTCTTGTGGTACGATGATGGAAAGGACTAAGGGGAATAAAGTTGTGCAATTCCTCCGCACACTCACCTCTTGTGTGTGGGGTGTTTATATACCTCTATAAATGAATCCCCTTTTTCTTTGGTCACGGCATCACGCGTGAATGGCTGGACCGATTTCACAAATTCTTTTTTTTATTTGTAATTTGTTATTATTAGAAGAAGGTTCTTAATGTTAAGACAGAAAAAATGTGAAAATCCTACGGAAACGGGAGAAAACGGGATTACGCTTACGAAGTCGCGGGCAGTATCTAGTTAGTTTTATATACTTACTACTTAGGAAACTAAAATTGTTTTTTTTTTGTTTTCATTAAATAAAGATACACGATAAATTGCATAAAGTAATGTTAATGTTGTGTTAATGAGTAGAACTCTAAATATCAATAAAGCTTTTTGCAGTCGCGAACAATTGCACTAACATTAGGCTTATCACAATATCAAAGTGCAAATGGGACTATTAGGATCGCGACACTATTCCTGCTATCGAAGAAAGTTTAATCACGTGTTCTTGTCGTCGCCGTGTCGTTAGTTGGTCGTTATGCTAATAGTCGCGAGCCTGTGACGCGCCTGCTCGTCACCGCTTCATCGGATTACAGATATTATACTAGTAGCTGTTATGTACAATGTAACTCGACGATCTACGACACTCACCCCCTTTTATCTGAATAAAGTGTTAATTTTAAATGTTGTGTCGGATATTTTTCTTTAGGTGCTTTGTAAAACGTTTATAATTGATTTGATAAGAAGGGAAAATTATTATTTTACTTCGTTACGTACATTTGAATCTATTGTAACTTTACGATAATCACTACATAGTGTAAAACAAAGTCGCTATTCGCCATCTGCCTGTCCCTATATATGCTTAGACATTTAAAACTATACGCAACGGATTTAGATGCGATTATTTTTAATGGATTTAATGATTCTTAAGGAAAGTTTATATGTATAATACATGCATATTACACCCGTGCAGCCCGGGCGGGTCGCTAGTTTAAAATAAAAAGTGAATCCAATTCTCTTTTTAAATAAAAGTCTTTTAATATAAAATGTACTACGCTTATTGCCTCGTACCTAACAAAAGAAAAAAATCAACCAACATCCATTCATTTTATTGCATTCACAGAATGGTATGTTATTAGTTGAAAGTTGAAACCAATAAAACCGTTGAAATTCTAACACTCTCGGTGCCACACCTGAGCTCTATTCATTCATATAAAAAGCGCTGAAAGGTGTTTAACTCTCCATTTTTAATTAAAATTTACATTATTCATAAAGTATGGATTGACACGGAACAGGTGCCACTCTATTCGATTTTGAATATTGAAATGAATTCGTAATGCACGAGTCAATACTTAGAATGATAACCAATATCGACTAAAATATTTGCCAATATTTGGTAATGG